ATAGCAAAAACGAGTCTGGCCTTCATTGATTTGAATAAGTGTATAAGATAAAAATTTCGGATTGTCACAATTTACTTACGAGGTGAGTCCTCTCATTATACTTACCTGAGTGGTAATACTGTATGACCGGAGGGTCTTATCTGAGTTATTAACTAGAGGGTCTTATGTGCTTATACTGAGTTATGTGATATTATGCATTCTGTCTTTGTGATTTATGTTGTATATTATTATGCACCTTATTGAGTTAGGACCAGAGGGTCCAAACCGAGTTGTGAGACCGGAGGGTCTTTACGGAGATACAGGACTGGAGGATCCAACACGAGCTATGAGACTGGAGGGTCTTCACTGAGACACATGACCGGAGGGTCCTTACCGAGATATAGCCATGAAAGGCTAATTATTTATGTGTGGTATTTGGGGAATTCACTAAGCTTTATGCTTACAATGTTGTGTGAAATATGTTTTAGGTACATCTCAGGATCGCGGGAAGGCGCCGGCATGATTGTACACACCAGCTAGAGATTGTGTTTTTGAGGATTTTGGGATATTTTCAAACAATTTATTGTTTTGTGTTTGGAATAACTTATAAATTTGGGTTTGAGAAATGTTAAACTGTGCTTTTATGTGAATTTAAAAATGAAAATTTTATTTGAAAAATTAGAGTATTACAAATGATCCCGACTTTAACCATATGTTCGCCAACCGAGACAACAATTTCTTCATTAACTTTCTTCAAGGATTTTGTCATAATGCATACTTTCGCCATTGAGAAGTCCCTGAATTCAACAAAAAACTCGAATGGGATAACCACCTCCCCAAATTGACTGGCAATGATGTTGAAGTTACACTCATCCCATAGATCAATTGGTAAACCCACAATTTTGACCCATATTATCCTTTCAAAATCAACGTTGACATTAACGTCATAATCCACCCATGAAAACCATTCACCCCATAAAATTTAGTTTTTTAGGAATTTGTCAACATCTTCCGGGCACTTGAATCTTAGACCCATGTTTAAACCCCCCAAGTATGTCACCTTCCCAGAGCCGTCGTTTACCAAGTGAACAGTAGAGGGTATAACGTTTAGGTGTTTTGCACTATGTGCTTTCCCGATTAGAGATAACACACTGTTCTGTCATTGTTTCATCATGATCTTGGTGTTTAGGGATATTTGGTGTACCAGGCATTTCAAACCAACATTTCCAGCTGTCACATCCGTAAATGTTCTTTTGTCGCTAAAACCCCCGTGGTGCCCAGAAGGTTTAGGAGGAGGAGTCGGATGACATACCTTTTGTTTCAGGACCGTGGATTTGGTTTCTTTCCTGTCAAACTTCGCTTTGTTAATCATTAGGGTTCTGTTCTTGAATCTTAATCCTCTAAGGGACTCTTCAAATCTTCTTTCATCTGCGATACCCCCAAATCTGACGAAGGCGAAATTCTGACGGCTAGAATCTTTTTTCGTCTCCATGTATACATCTCTCACATCACTGTGGTTCTGAAACATCCGTTCAATCTCCTCTTTTGAAGATCCGTCTGGAATGTTTGTGATGACCATCGTCGTAACTGTTGGATTAGGTGTCTAAGCCCATAACTATATTTGGTATGTACTTGACCCGATAGTAGCATGGTTCTTTTGGGTTGCCTTCACCAAAGCAACTTGACTGGATGAATAATAGAGAAAGAGAGTTATTATGGTTTATTAATATATTATTTGAATAATATATTAAAAGAGAAATCATATTGGTTAATTAATATTGGTCAAGAATTAATTTAGAATTGATTTTGTGGTCAAAAGATATTAATTGAACTAAGGAGACTGATATTGTAATTATTGGATAATTGCAAAGTGGGTTGAGGAACCCTAAAGATAGGGTGGGCGAAATCCTTATGGATAGCCCATAAGATTTCGTCCAAGCTAGGGTTCTGGAAGGATCTATTGGGCTGCTTAGAGCCTAAGTAACTGGATAAGGTCCTAGACTAAAACCCTAATTCCTCAGCTATATAAGGAACTCCTAGGCATCCTAAATTCGGCTACCACAACCCTAAGAAGAGTTCTAAGAGCCAAAATTGCCTTCCCCTCTCTCTCTAAGATTCTCCAATTACTTTGGTGTTTGTGATCTATTAGAGGCACAACATTTGAGGTGCTAAAGTTCTCAAAAGCTCAAGGATCTTCAAGCGTCAATTGAAAGGTAATCATCTAAACTAGTATTAATTTTTAATTTCGATTTTTTATACTAGTATTAGGGTTTGCAAGCTTTGGATGATTTGCATGTACAATTAGAGAAACCTAGATCCAAAGCTTTAGGGTTTGCATGTGCACCATAGGATTGATGTAATGCTCAAAACCCATCAGTGGTATCAGAGCCTAGGCTGCTTTCTATTGTATTTGATGCCTTCTTGGATCATTCATAGCTTGAAAAGTCAAAAAATCTGCCTTCTGACAGATGAACTCGTCGAGTCACTTGATGAACTTGACAAGTCACATGAACATGACGAGTCCAGTCAGTGACTCGGCGAATCGGAGAGTCAGAGAGCATATATTTCGGGATTTTGGCCTATTTTGGATTGGGATAATTACCAAAAACGATAAAATTCGAATTTTATTATATTGCTATGATTATCCTTATCCAAATAGAAGATAATTGTCAATTAATAAGATAATTATTGCCTTATATGATATTTTTAATTAATTGTATTATTTGATGTGAATTATCTTGCCATAAAATTGAATTAGGTCAACTTTAGATAATCACCAATTATTTGATTAATTAAATTATTTGTAATTTGATCTAGAAAGTTTTGAAAAGTTTCAAGACTTGCCCTCAAGTTTTGGAATTTAAATTTTTGATTAAAAGTTTAATTCTGAAACATTTAAAATTTAAACCCTAGAATTTTACAAGTTTAAAATTCAACCCTTATACTATTATAATATTATAAGAATAATTATTAAATATATGTATAAGATAAAGCTAGTCTTACCGTTAGTAGGCCTCATTCACAAAGCCGATCTATAAGGGGGGTATAAGGTTGCTGCCTATAAAATGGCAGTTTAATGGGTGTCCACTCTCACCCACCGCTTCCTTGATTGGTGGAGGGTCCTTAACCGAACGGGTAGGATAGGGCAACTAATTCCTCATTAATAAGTATAATGAATGCATAAAGTAAATAAATGATTTTAATAAATTTCCAATCTTAGTTACTTTAGGCAAAATGTGAGATGATGTTATTCCATGAAATTACACTTTGCACCTTGTCAAGTAGTTAGTGGAGCGTGTATGGTTAACTGGCACACTAATTTAGGACTAGTAAAGGTTCAAAGGGTAGCTTGATGTTTATCATAGATCAATGGAGCGTGTGTGGCTAACCGGCATATTGGTTATGTGATTTATAACATCGAGAGTACCAAGTACATTTGCATGGTTATTCACACCTTGTTTGTGATCCTTGGTATCCCAGTCACAAACTTGAAGGGCATATCGAGATTTAAATATGCCATTGAAAAGTTCAATGAATCTCAAAAGAATCTAGGAATTTCAATTCATTTAAAACTTAAAAACCCTTTTCGTTTTCATGGTGGAAATTAGTGAATCGTCATTCACTTATCTTCAAATTATTTGCAAATTAGATTATGACATCCGTCTTCTAAATTGTGAATAATTGTGTTGGGTCCTAGCCCTAATTTCTCATTTGGGTGTTTAATTGGGGATTCTTATCTAATCAAACTTTGTCTCTTTTTTTTTCAGATGTCTACTTCAAACAACAACGCTTCTGGCTCAACCCCTTCCGACTCAGTCTCACTCATGAACTTGTGTGGGAGGGTGATTTTTGATGGGTCCAACTTCAATGATTGGATCCACAACATCCGAATGGTCACCCATTACGAGGACAAGGAGTATGTTCTCGATAGGGACCTGAAGGAGATTGACACCAACATTGCTACTCCCGAAGAGATTGCTGCCTACGAGGCTCATGAGCGTGATGCTACGAAGGTTCATTGTATCATGCTCGCAACAATGACTGCTGAACTCCAAAAGTCTTACAAGGACTACTATCCGTACGAGATGCATCAAGATTTGATGGATAGGTACCATCAAAGCGCGAGGCAGGAAAGGTATGAGATCATTGCTACGATGATCACTACCAAGATGAAGGATGGAGAGTCCATCACGACCCACCTATAGAAAATGCAAAGGTATGTGGACCGCTTGCTGAAGTTAAATGTTAAATTCGATGACGAGCTGGCCATAGATTGTTGGATTAGTGTCTAAGTCCATAACTATATTTGGTATGTACGTGACCCGAGAGTAGCATGGTCCATTTGGGTTGCATGGCACCGGAACAATCTGAAGGATGGATAATTGAGAAGAGGTTATTTATGGTTTGTTAAATTTATTATAAGTTCTAATATATTAATATGAAATCATATTATTTAATTAGTATTGAATAAGAATTAATTTGGAATTAATTTTGTGATCAAAAGAAACTAATTAAATATATGAGGATTGATTATGTAAATCATTCATTCTTATAATGTGGGCTTATGATCCATAGTTCTTTATGTTGGGCTAAACCCATGTGGTGACCCATGGATGATCCGTGGAGGTTTAAACCCATGGAGCATGATGAATATGGAAGGTCATGCACATTAGGGTTTGCATGGTGTAACCCTAATTAAGCCACACTAGATAAGAACCCCTCTAGCTCATAAAATTGGCACTAGTGTGATACACAAAGAGGGCTAGCCGATTTTGTGAGTGAAAGTAACCTCCTCTCAAGTTCCTCCATTGTTGGTGGTGTTGTGTGATTCCATTTGAGGTGCAACACTTGGGGCACTAAGTTCTTAAAGGCCAAATACATCAAGGATAGCAAGCTACAACCAAGAGGTAATTCTATAACTCATTCCTATGTTGTTTGTGTCAATTGCATGCTAGTTGTAGGCTTAATTCTTTGGAAACCTTATTGCATGTATAATAGGGAAAACATAGATCCAAAGCATTTAGGGTTGTATGGGCACCATAGGATGTTGTATTATACCAAAACCCATCAGTGGTTTCAGAGCCTAGGGTTGTTTTCAATTATACTTGATGCTACTTATTTTCAAAGCTGCCAATTTCGTTTCTGTATGCCCACCACGACGTGGCAATAATTACCACGACGTGGTGATGCATCTGTGTGCAAAATTGCGCGTTTTGGCCAGAAATTTGATGAGGATCATTACCCCAAACTGTTTTTTGAACCTTGAAACCTGTTTTTCAATAGGGTAATGATCATGCTTGTCAAATTAGAAGATAATTGTCAAAGTTTCATGTTTTGTATTAGTTTATATGATTAGCCTAATTACATGAAAATTGTTTGATATGAATTATCTTGTTCATATGAGTTTAATCTAGATCATGGACATTATTTGACATGTTTGTTAGTTTAATTGATGATCTTAATGGCCTTTATTGTACTCCATAACTTGTCCTCAAGTTATGGAAAATGAAAAGTTTTTCTTTTAAAGAGTTCTTTAAAGTCATAGTTATGAACTTGAAGAGTCTTTTTCCCATAAATGGTTTTATGAACTCCATAACTTGTCCTCAAGTTACGGATTTTCAAGAGTTTTTTCATTAAAGCCTATATTAAACTCATATGTTATGGATTCCAAAAAATTTTGAATAGTTCAAAACTTTCCCTCAAGTTTTGGAATTTGTAAAGTTTCACTTATGAATACATTAATTCCAAATTAAACCCTAGAATTTTAATAGTTTAAAATTCAACCCTTATACTATTATGATATTATAGGTTTAATATTTATATATATATATATATATATATATATATATATATATATATATATATATAT